CGAATTTCAAATAAAACAAAATCCATTCCCTGGATTCCACTGCTAGACACCATTCAAAATTTAATCAACCTGTAACTACAGCCGATTTCGAGATATTCGATAGGGAATTATCAAATCTAATCTTGCCAGTCGAGTCCAATACTTAGCTTACTGACCACATTAGATATTTGATGAAATAAAATTCGAACAGTATTTAAATCTCTTAGCATGACATAAGAATTGATCTGAAATGATTGACTGTCCTATCTAAGAAGAATGTTCATGTTCATTTCACTATGGAACATGAAAAAGAAAACATCTTTCATTTTCTCCATATAGAGATAAAACGAAGAAAGGATGGCACAGTTCAACGCTCAGTTTATAAAAAAGACACATGGAATGGTATTTATCTCAATTTCAACAGCTTTTGTCCAATCAATTATAAAAAGGCACTTGTCAAAACACTGTTTCACAGAACAGAAAGAATATGTACTGCCGATACAACAGAAGAGGAAATTATGAATGTTAAAAAGTGTTTAAGAAATAACGGATACCCATCGAGACTTATTGAGAAATATGGAAAACGTGAAGATAAAATACACAAAGAAACTACAGTAAATAAAAAACCTGCTTTTATTCAACTCAAATTCAAAGGCGATAATGTCAGAGGGTCAATCAATATGAGACTAAAAACTGCATTGACAAAAACATATCCTGCAGTTAAATTGATTGTCCTGTCCCAAACGACATGTTCTTTGACACGATCAAAGGTCGACATGTATCCCTTTCATGTTACCACCAACTGTGTATACAAATTTACATGTATCTGCCAAAGCAGTTACATTGGTAGAACAGAAAGGAGAGCCTACGTCCGATTCAAAGAACATATTCCGAAGAGTTTGAGATCAAACGGACTAAAAGCATTTAGCAGCGCTGTCGCAAGACATCTCCTTGACACAGGACACGAAGTCGATATACTGAAGTCCTTCAAGGTGATCAACAAACAATCAAATTCAAACCTTTTGAAATTCGCCGAAGCAATAGCAATCAAACGTTTAAGACCAGATCTTTGTATACAAAAAGAAACAGTAATAAATCTTTCTTTGCCCTGGTAACATTCACCCCACCCCTTTTATTTTTATTACGTCATTTCAACTCTTTCTGAATTTTATAATTACATCATTCATAACTGACCAATTTCAATTCATATCTCTCTTTATTAACATTGATCTACTTTCAGTTACTTCATTACATAATCGTCTAATGTGTTTTAATTCCATGATTTCTAATCACTATCTCAATTTTCTGGAACTTTCCCTCCCAAACTCTATATTCGAAACAGAATTTTATGGCCTCACTAACTCTAACGAAACCTTTGCTACATTATGTTACATATATTCATCCTTCATCGCCCTCTGTTGTGTATGTCAATATCTATAATAACTTTGAATTTCAAATATTTTACGTTGTAAGCAGCTGATGAGAACAAAATGAATTCATATTATTCTGCACTAACCTTTGTTCTTGCTTTCAATACAAATATGTCTAGTGTTATCTGTGAGATAAATAATAAGTAATTATTGTCAAAAGGGGGTTTGTGGAGATTGTAGTAACCTAATAGTTGAGATTATAAGTCATTTTAAGCTAGACCACCATGGAAAACCCGGGAGCACTGGGCGGCCGTTTCGTCTTCGCATGGGACCCTTCAGCAGTGAGCATCCACAATCCCGCCTCACGAGCACTTAACCTCTAGATCAGTGAGCTGGCATCCAACAGTGTTAATGTCTAACTCCAATTAATCCACGAAATTGAGCGACACATCCACCATTACCTTCAGTGAGTTACTATCTTACAACAGACCCGGTTGAACTCCCTTGGTCATGGCTTCTCACCAGAACTCCAGGAAATACCTCATGAAGTCAGTCATTAGTGAATACATGATGATTATTATCAGAATTTGGGTTTTGCGGAGAGAGAGAAAAGTAACATAATATAGTAGTTCTCAATGAAGAAACTATTCTACTGAGGACGCTGAACTTAATCTAAAATGAGAAAACAATGTGAATTTAAATAAATCCAGGACAACAATTGAGACAGAATAATATGAATTCACACATTATTAAAAATTTAGATGAATTCATTATATTTCGTGGTTTCTTATGAGCTGCTTACAGCTATATATGTATTAAAGTGTGAAATTGTGGTATGATATAATGTGAAGTAATAGACATTGATGACGGAAGGAATTAGAGTAACAAAGTTTATCAATAATAACCATATATATATATATATATATATATATATATATATATATATATATATATATGCATCGTGTGGTATTTATGGAAGTTGTGAAGAGTTCACATAAGATTCAAATTATTTGAAATGAGATATAGAAAATTTACAGCGATTAGGTGATAATTATCTAGAATTAAAAGTTAAAGGGTCACGTCATAAGTACATAAGATTTGAAGAGTCCACATAAGTTTAGAGAACATATTAAACGAAAAAAAACCGACGAATGAAAGGATGATTTTGGTGTACATGAAATAAGAATTTGTTTGGCGAAAACTAAACAAAATAAACACTCATAAAATAATAATAATCAGTATAGGGTTGTGGAGATTCTTGAGTCTCAATGAAATGACCGACTGATCAATGTTAGACCATCATTGAAAACCTGGGAGAACTGGATACCAACTCAGTGGTCTAAAAGTTAGGTGTTTATGCACGAGACCGAAGGTTTCGGGCTTGATTCCTGCATACAGGGTACTGGTTGAGCAATGTCGAGGTGTCCCATACAAGGACGAAACGGCCATCCAAAACTTTAATGTTTTCAATGGTGGTCTGACATTGATTGGTTCATGATAGCAAACACTAACAATAATAATAAGTGTAATGATCGAGAACAGTTTATTGTCTAATGTATAGTTACATAGTTGCTTTGTAAAATATGAAAATCATACATCATTTGCACATGTTCCTTCAGCCGTCCTCAACATACTTCATGATTATTACAATTCTGTTGTCATTTTGATTGCTCTCTGTTTACATACCTGTTCTCTTCAATTCAGTCTTCTGCTGCCAGGCACTCCACTTTCGACTGCGGCTACAGGCCATTTATATATGTCAGCTTAATTAGCGTACACCACAGTAGCGGTTGATATAAGTAAAAGCTGTTAATAAGTTGATTGCTAACTCTATCTGGATATATAAATCAGGTTTGAGTATTATAATTGCTACTACTTCGACAAACCAGAGTGAATTTGTGTTCTAAACATTCTCATGCTTACAATAAGCTAGAATATAAATTCATGTGGTAAAACAATGATAAAGGTCTACTTTGAATTTAACCATACGCATTTAAGCGTTCTCATAATTCTATTATCCAAACAAGGCTAACAAAGTTCTGCTTAAAATAGAAGAACAGTTCTATCACCTATGCTTCTTTAGTGTAGCACGATGGATTGATGGTCCGTATGAAGTATATTAGATTGGACTGGACATATATTGCGTTTTGAGTAATTTCTGCTCAACATACAGTTATTAAACTTATTAACAAGAGTATTTCCTTATGTCTAAATTTCATTCTTGTATTACCCTTTCTCATGCATATATATAATTTTCAACTATAAGCATTAACATAACCTTCAATTCTGGATCTTCGTCCTTGTTGATGTGAAATGTCGCAATTTACGTTTTGGCAACCGAATATAGATCCCTATCCACAGCTGTGTGGAGTACATGACATTATCCGATTGTCCAAGCTAAAATAGTTCGTGTTTGAACATGCGACTAAATGATCATAAGTCGAGTACTTTAACCAATAAGCCGCTGGTAATTTACACAAATACATACTTTTTCTATATTCTACGTTGTTTTTTGTCTCTCCGTTTAAGTGCCACTGAAAGCGTCTGACACTAGATGTGTGAATAAACAGTGGTTGAATATAAATGAGAAACCTCTAAGGTATCTATGTTAATTTTTAAAAAATTCAAATTCAGGGATTATTTGTGAATCTCCGTAAAATTAATATACTCATAAAAAATGTTACAGAACATATGTCCTATCACTGCTGGGAAAGGCCATAGTGATACGATGCCCAAGAATTACGTCTAATGGACTAGACAGTGAGTGGTCCACCAATAGCCGACGACATTTTATCATGTCTATTTTGTATGTAAGCATGTTATATTACCACACAAAAATCTATTCTTTCGGCTAGAGGTTTTTTTTCTATTCCAAATCATTCGTGGGCATACGTCATTAATCTGGTCTCGTGATCAGACATCAATCGGTCCTATAATATCATTGTACATAGTTGATTGATCAGCATTCTTTTCTTTCATTTTCACAGTTGGAAATTTATTGATAAAAACATTAAAACTTTATCCCATATCAAATAGTTTAATTTACAATGTATTAGCTGAATTACATTAATTTATTAGGAAATCTCAAATGGGACTTTTCTTTTAAGGACTAAGAATAAAATAGTTAGAATATATATATATATCACCAATAACAGTAACTTGCATCTCAATCACAAAATTCAAGTTTTAACTGGCTTAGTTATAGATACTATTCTCCTTTATTATCGAGGGGTAAATAAAATAATGTAGCCTCAAGGATTTCGGAATCATCCGTTACTTTTAATAACAAGAAGTAATGATTAAATAAATACAAAATATTCATTTCATAAATAACATTAACATTATATCAAATCAAAATCATCATATGAAGTTAGGTAAATGATAAATTTTTTTTTCGTAAAAAATAACAGGTAGATATGAGATTGGTATGTATTTGTCACTGTGTTGAGAGTATAGTTTTGAAAGAAAATACAAAAATATGCATAGATTACTCTTCTATAATATTAAGGCTTTATTACATTACCAGAAACAATTGAATTGAAATAGGAAGATGTGAATAAAGTTTAGAAAGAAAGGCATCGAAATGCAAAAACAAAAATACTAACGACATTATTGCTAATTAGAAAAAAATATATATTAGTAATAGTAGTGTTAATTGTAAATTTTATATGGTCGACGATAGTTATATTTTGAAGGTATGTATGTATAATTACAATAATTTAAAGATTCACCAAATACTAAACGTATTATAAAATGTTCTGTAAATGGTCGAGAACATACAAAGATAGTTATTAAAATACATGTTAACAACATACAATTTATGTAGATATCTGTTATAGTATTTGGTTTTAATTTAACAAACGTGTAGTTTGTAGCTAGCAGCGTTTTACCGTTAGTAACTGTACCATTCTTACTGTTGACGTCAGTATCGGATTGGCATATACAACGACAGTGAGATGAACAATTGTTATCCTTCATAATTTTCTAAAACAAATTAGTAAGTATTGAGCTCGTTCAATTTTGGGTGTGAAGTAGTTATTTGGGGGGGAATTTACTTAGGTATTGTTCATTCTGAAAAGATCAAAAGTGCGTTTAACAGTAGGTGGTAATAAAAATAATTTTTAGTTTAGGCTGTTACTCTCCTATACGAATATTCGTCAAGATTAGAATGAAATTGGGCGCCGAGTTTAGAGAAGTTATTATATGTGAAAATTATATTTCAATCGCTGAGATTATTTCAAATATAATTTTCACATATAATGTTACTCTCCTAGTTTAGCGAGTTCATCATTCACACGATTGGTTACGTAACCAGACAAGCTAACAGTTTTTTTCATTATATATATAGTCTAAAAGTATCCAGGTAGGCACAAGGGTCGTTTGAACTTTAAACAGTTTACAGGGAAGTTATAAAAATCTCATCTCATATATTAGCAGATCAAACTATTCACATATTAAGTATTGTTAAGACTAAATACGACAATACTAAAGTCTGACACTAAATTTCTACTAAGCACTCATTAGGCTGCTATCTATAATCAACAGATGAGATACAGTTGAACCAGAAAAAAGTAGATTCCAAAATTAGCTGTTCAGCTAACAGAATGAAACAAATACATAAATAATTGTTCAGTGGTATTTCCTTGTGAAGGTTGATTGATAACTATTAGTGATATTATTTTATTTATTTATTTATTTATTTGAACACAAATATTGGTACAAAGGGGCACCGAATACATATTCACTACACAAGTCACTTGATTTGTGTGTGGGCTGTGGTACTGCTTGAGTGCCCAAACTGACGCAGGTGGTTTTCTTAGGAGGCCACACCCGGAGCCTTCGACCTAAAGGTCTGATCCACAAGGCAATGGAGCAAGGTAGGGAGATGCAGACCCATGGTAGCCGATGACCAATAATTGGTTCATACGCCATTTGTTCCTTTAGGACTCTGGAACCCATATGCGCCATTGGTTTGGAATCAGGGTTTTCCAACTCCCCTAGGTGGACTCTTCATATCCGCCAACCCGGTTAAAAAGCCGGAGACTCACTTTTTGTCCTGTCGATTTCGTAAACAACACGAGAAGGCAATGAGTAGGACTTCCCTGGCAGAGGCTATATACGCGTGGCCATGTAAGAGCATTTGGAGAGGGAGAGCGGACTCTCCCCACTCTCGGCCGTACCAGGGCATTTGGGGGCATTATTTTTATTGTTTGTAACATAAAATTTCGATCTTTAAAGTGAACAGAGTGTTAACCGATCGACGTACTGTAGTTGAGCGATCATTATTAGTGGGATTGAATTTAGTAACTTACCCTATTCATTGATAGCCTTCAAATGTAAAATGATCAGAGTAACTGAGTCATTTAACACGATTTTTTTTCTTCCTGTATACATATTCTAAGTCTAGGAACGGCAAGAACTTATGGATGAACTTTTAATGAGCAATAACATTCAAAGTTTAAAGGAAATAGAAGAAATCTAAGACTTCTAGTATATGTAAGCTTTTTGTTAGTTATGACATTATCTAACTATCTAAGAGAAGCAGTCAGTCAGTAACAACGTAGAACTTCGTACGTACGTACATCAGTTCGAGTTGCCACATCACATTAGCACAGAGATGCAGTGATCGATTCAAATTCCGTAGTGCTAGATGTAGTAAAATTATAAGCTGTAATCAGAAATATTAGGGTTTGAAGATGTTATTCAAGGAATATAATACAGTGAAATAAATTTGGAAAGAGAAAAAAGAAAGGGACATGAAGAATTCAGAAGATTAGAATTTGGGAGAACACAAAGAGTGTATGCACCTGCGCCATTGCAAACGATTTTGAGCCATGTCATTAAGGGTCTCTAACCATCGGTTGCTATCATCTCGCGGTCCCCAACCAGGTAGTCTACACCTAACAACATGACTCAGATAAACTTGTCAGTGACTTCATGGACTTGTGCCATGTTTTGGTCTGGCCGCCCCTAGCTTTCTTCCAATCTACTCATGTACAACAAAACATCGCACGTCGAGGCAGTCGGTGGTTGGGCATACGTAACACATGTCCCAGCCATCTCAACTGATGAAGTTTCGATACGTCATCAATTGATTTGCCATCCTTACCTAGTACCCGTTTCCTAACAACTGCATTACTATCTAAGAGAAGCAGTTAAATGAATCCGTCATAAATAAGGTATAAACTAAGGAAAATGCGGGTCGCTGCAAGTTCTCACGCCACATTAGCATAGAAATAGAAAGTTACTAAAATCTATAGCGAAGGAGTAAAAAGGAGTAATGTTTATGCTAGTGAAAATGACTAAACGTACAAATTATGATTCAGAAAGAACTAATGAGACTTGAAAATGTTAAGCACGTAATAAAACTGAAATCGAAGACCTAGAATACGATAGAAAAATAAGTACGTCACAAAAAATGATTTCAAGCCATGTCATCTTAAGTTTTCAAGTACTGATCACTATAATTCAGTGAACATTAATCAGACAGTCGGGATCTGTCGAAACAGCTTAGACTAATGACCAAAAACTCCATGAATAAATGTTGAGCCTTGATCAAATACTAGTAACCTACCCATGTCCTCTATCTCCAAAGTACATGTTTTACATCTATAGGGCAAAGCCGAACGAGCTTCTGCTTAGTATATGTGCTTTATGATAGGCAGACATACCTCAACTGGGTTACAGGTGACTTATATAGGTAAAATAGCCTTTTATATTCGTGAAGTTTCGGTTTGAAAAGTCAAATATTATAACTATTCTTCAAACAAATTTAATCTAACACACAGCACATGATCTTGTTCTCATGTTGGATTACAATAATAAGTTCACATAGTTCGCATAAGTTGGCAAGCTACTAACCAACAACATAAATCTCTGATGAAATACAAGCAGAGAAATTGGTCCTCTTTACTCCTTATGCACAATAGATTGCCTTAAAAGTAACTCCTTTGAACAACTCGGTATCAAAATACACACTTTTATAGAAACTAAACCCATAATTTTGGTGAAAGCTGTACCGTAAATAAATGAATCTACAGAGTTTTACGGTATGTAAAATATTAAGTGCAACTAATCCTTAAGGTAATATTTAAGGATAAAATCTTGAAAATCTCGTCAACAGAACTGGCTCGTTTTTGGTTTTATATCAATACTTAAAAAACTGTTGTGGGATCGTATTATGATGTTTGAGAAAAGTATTATACTATAAGATAAACGATTTATGAAGAACACTCAAGAGTTTCAGTTCAGGAACTGAAAAATGTAGATTAACCAATAACTATTATAATAAAATGCTCTGAAAACTAATTTGTATGTTGTAGGCTAAGAAAGATGTTTTATCATTTTCAGAGGTATTAAGCTTTTATAATCACTGTCCATTGAAAATTCTAGAAAAAAGACTTGCCTACAAATATGTAAATAGGAAATACGAAAAGTGTGATTTTTATTGTACACAAACACTGGAAAACTGTTAATTATTGATTTTTAAAATAAACAACAAATCACTTCACTTAAGAAGTGTAGGAATTTAATGTCAGTTGATCAGGTTTGAAGCGAAAAATCAATTAATATCAAACAGTTAGTCAAATCTTTAATCCTTATTATTTATGACAATATAAATGTAAATAAAAATAATTCTAACTCTATTGATTACTGGTATGAATACTTTAGAATCTCAAGAACGATGACTGATGGGTCCATAAAATAAAAATAGTAAATGATACTAAGACTTGTTGCAGATAAATTTGTTCCAGTTGTGCAAAACCGACATCTATTTGGGCAAGATAATAAACTAAACAAAGGTGTATTAAACAGTTTCCGAGATAGAATCACAATAATAATCACCGCCTAGATTTATTTAATGAATATGGTTAGAGATTAAAACTGAATATGACATTCATCAGTAATAAATGGTTATAATAATTTTGAAAAATTAGTGACATTATTCTACCTGACATATTGTCCAGCTTAAAACTTACAAATATAAATATTCTGAAAACCAGAATCTAAATCATGTGCACTTCTCTACCGCGATTACACTTCCTATGCTATAAAATTCAAAGAGTAACAGAGAAGTGGCTTATCAGACAAAACGCCAAGTGGAAAGTACTACAACCACAACTACCAAACACTACATATTATTCCATAAACTTTGGTCTCAACGGTCGAGTAGTGTAACTACCCCACATATAATTTATAGCGCAACGAAAACTACATAAATCTCCACTCGACAAATACTTCACAAGTAAAAATTAAGCAGTTATAGTAGTGGTTAATGAAATCTAAATGAAAAAATATAGTACTGAAATATAAAATATCCCATACACAACAATAAGAATAACTGTTACTCTATTGAAGAACTTCACTTCTTAAATCCTGGAGAGACTGGTGATTGAGACTTGTCTCAGGAGATAATAATGATAATAATAATAATAATAATAATAATAATAATAATAATAATAATAATAATAATAATAATAATAATAATAAAACCAGTTAGCATTGAGTTGGAAACTTTGATTTCCATTCGAGATAGATAATATATTTTGGCTGTTCTGAAACAAGTTTAATTTCACCTGCTGAAAAAAGATGCTTTTTCATACAAAATCTATGAAGAGAAATAAATTGGACTATATTGTTGATTTACTGGTTTGACCATTTACATCACTGGAAAAATTTGAGTAAGACATTAGACTAACCATTTTCAAGAGGTTTTAGATAATTCATAGAAATTAGCGATACCTCATATTAAGTACGATGAATAAATTTTAATATGCGACCAAAGAGTTGAAGTAACTGAGACTAGTAAGAGGAAATAACATCTGGTCAGTCGACTAGGCAGTACTGTATCAACATTCCTTATGAAATTTTACAAACACTCACAACTCATTGTCCTTGAGCATTTCCTCTCTGTTAATCACTATCAGCTCCATTTATTGTCAGTTAACTGATTATTATTACCATTATCAATGGCTTTATTCAATACTACATTTTTGGTATAATGTAGAATTCTCAACACAAGGTATTTCAACAAGTTTATTTTACAAAAAAGAAAGCAAAGTGAAAGAGAC